AAAAAAAAAAAAAAAATACAGAATTTATTAACTTTTAAAATAATTTTACAATTCAATGATTATAAAAGAAAATGATATTCAAATGCAATTAATACATAAATAATAACCATAAATAATCAACATATTTATAGATAATCCAAACCTAATTATTATTGGACTTGAAGTAAATTAAAATCTATCCAAGTCAAATAACGAATATTTAAAACAATATAGATCATTTTTGGGTCTAAATCCCCTTTTCTCTCGAAAACCCTAACCTCGGTTTCTCTCAAATTGGAGCTCGTTGGCCTTCCTCGGCGGCGGTTGAGTTCGAGCCGGTGGTCGTCCATCGGCCGCCTGACCTCCGCCCGACTTTTTGCGCCTTCCCCGTCCCTTTTGCTCAGGTATGCTTCATCTTTCTTTTGGCGTCGGCTCTTTGTTGCCGGCTTGCCGTGTGCCTTTATCGGCTTCCTGGGTTGCGATGGTGAGGGTGTGGGTGTTTCCGGTCGAGCAGATGGTGCCCCGGTTATCCGACGTCATTGGTGTCGGACCACCGGAGCTCCGCTGCTTTTCTCCAGCTTTCTCCCTTTACTCCGGCGTTGGGTCTGGGGTGGACCGGTGTGCTGTCTTCCGGCAAGTTGTGTTGGCCGAGGTGGTGGGTGGAGGACGGTGGCAGTTTCAGGCGTTTCGGGTTTGTAGCTGCAGCCTCGACATCCTTCGTGTTTCGGGAGTTCACCGGGCTGGTTTTGACTTACTAGTGGTGTTAGTGGGTCCAGCCTTGTGTGGGTCCTGAGGCATCTTGGTGTTGAGGTCATAGTTCAAGTCTGATTTTGGGTGGTGTTCTGGAGCTAGGACTCGACTTTGTTAGGCCACCGAGTTGGTGTTGGGCAGTTTAGTCCTGTTTGGCTGTGGGATTCACTCTGGGTTGACTTGGTTCTGCTGGCTCTGCTTGGTCTTGCTGCTTGGGAAGGGCTTGAATTGTTTTGTTCTATTTTGCTTTGCTTATAGTTGTGTTTGTTATGTCTTGTTTTTCGGTTTAGTTGGTCTGTGTTTATGTTTTTAGTATTGTTTATGGTGTTTTTCGTCTGGTCCGTTGGCCTTTGTGAGCCCGAGTGTCACCTTACTACCCTGTTGGGGTCCGACACTCGGGTATTACCCTGTTGGGGTCTCTGTGTTGTGTTGTGTTGTTTTTTTGTGTGTTCTTATTACCCCGTTGGGGTCGGTTCTAGGCGGTCTTTTGACCTGTCCTCCCATTTTATTCTCCCGTTGGGAGCTTTGTACTTTTATTCGCACATTTGTGCGCTTTTGATTTATAATAGTTTCCTATCGTTCTAAAAAAAAAGTCAAATAACGAAACATGGAACTTTGCCAAATATGGTTGCGAAGCATGCGAGTCTGTCATTTAGACTCAGCACATTCGCTAATTATATATAAGAGGGATAGTTTTAAATTATTTTTTATTAGTTTTAGGATATGTGTTAATTTAATATTTGACTTATATATTTGTTTCACATATTATATAATAACTATTTATAAACTGATAACATTGTATAAACTCAATCCTCGAAATAACTTTTTACTTATATTTTTGTATTTTTAACATTAAGTTTTTAAACCAATGCGGGATAAATACATTAATTACTATTTAAATTATTATATACTAAATACATTTTATTATACATCCATCTATATTTTATTAATTTGAGACTAGTTCTTTATATTTAAATTAGTATTAAATTAAATAGTAAATTATGTTCATTTTATACATGCAATATTAACTAATAAACTTAAATACTTTAAAAATAGTGATTTTTATTTACATACAATACAAGTGCCAAATAAAAATCGTCAATTGAATAATAAATTTATTTTATATTTGAAAAATGGGTAACAAAAATGAAAGTATTAAGGGCGCGCTTGGATATGGATTTATTTACTCAAATTGAATTATTCCATAAAATTGAGATATGGGATGTTTGTCTACAGAATATTTCACTCTTGATGTTATTATATGGGTCCCCCCCACCTTCTTTCTGTCCCCCCATTACTGAACTGTATTGCATATCTGTCTTTCAATTGAATTGAAATTGATGAAAGGCTCGAGAGAGAGAGAGACAGAGAATACAGCCTCCTTCCATAAATTACCCCTCTTGTGTTAGCAAAAACAATGACCTCCAACCATTTCACCTCCCAGCCGGAAGTCAGTCCACCTCTTCGTTCGCCGGAAAATCCACTGGAGAGGACAGATCCGCATACAGAAAGCACCGGCAGCGTGTCGGTGACCTCGCTTGAGAAGAAAAGGAAACAGAGAAGGAAGGTTAGTTGCTTTTTATGATTCCTATCGCAAGTGTTGCTCTTATTGAGATACATATTTGGATTTGTTGCTTTTTTTCGGTTGTTTATGTGATTTGCTGGTTTTTTTCGGTTGAACCCTAAAAAAAATTGGGGATTTCTGCATTTATATGTTATACGTTTTTTTTTCCTACTAACAATTATTATCAAAGTTCATCTGTGTGTCTGTTGAGGGAATGAGAACAATTATTTTGAAAAAAAAAAAAGAACTGCAATCCCTTGTTGTCTTTGTTCCCCTTTACTGACTTTTCACTCTTCGTCCCAAATTTTTTTGTGATTTCCTTGGTCATAACCGAGCCCTATTGTTGTCATTCTTGGTTATGTCTGATTTGTACAACAATGTTGGTCATGTTATATTTCTGTCTTCAAATAAACAACACAATGTGGGAGTTGTTTGTCGGTCACAAACTGTAGATGTCGACTTCCGTTGAGGTTGGGAGCTCGAAATCGAAGCAAGGAGAAGGAAAGTGGTCTCCAGAGAATGAATATCGGCTAATGTCATTGATGCTGGACCAAATTATCCTGGGCAATTACACAGGCCAGAAATTCAAAACATGTCATTGGATGGAAATCCAGAAACAACTGAACAGCGCGTGTGGTCCGGAACAGGCGTATGAGATAACACAAATCACGAGTAAGCATGACCGTTTGAAAGTACAGTGGCGTCGGTTCCACACAATGCTTACTGCAGAAACCGGCTTTGGTTGGGAATCTTCGACAGGGAAGATCACGGGCGGCGAAGATGTTTGGGGCAGGTGGATCACGGTTAGTAAAGTTGTTTCATTTTGATACTTGATATATTATGTTTCCTATTTTTATATGATTTTTTTTTATATACTACTTGCATTGTTAATGAAAGTTTCATCTCTTGTCAGTCTCCTTCTGTCATGTGGATTTGATATACAATTGTGTATTCTCTGTTTTTTTCTACTGAGGTTACTCTATATTTTTTAAGACAAACATTATCTTGAATATGGTGAAAAACATATACAAGCTACTTTTCTGGTTGTATTAAAGGAACTTGAGGTGCTTGATATATTCTGATGAAGTGGTTTTTTTTGGCCCGATAATATTTCGAGGCATTCTGTTTTATTGTTGAAATAATTTTTTGTCAAAAAACCGGGTCATCCAAAGGACGGGGAGATGAAGAAAAAAGTTTGCTTGCACTACCGCGAGCTTACCACTATTTTCCTTGGGACAACTGCAACTGGCAGCAGAGCACGGGCATCTACCCAAACTCCTGAGGGAATGTGCAGGGGTCGGAGAATGAAGTCGCCTATAACTCCCACTTACTTGTTCCTGATGAGTTGAGTGACGAGCCAATGAACTCCCCAGAGGGTAATCGGGCGATCCGTCGGCGTAAAGGGGCCACTTCCACCTTCGACACGGCCATGAATTCCATAACTGAAATAAGCCCCATTATCCAACAACACGCTCAGCCGGAAGCAGATCAAGTGAACCTCCAAAAAGCTTTGAGAGAGTTGGAGTCCATGTCTAATGTCCCTATGCCAGTGAGGAAGGTAGCTTGGAAGAAGTTTCGGGACCCGATGAGCTTGTACACGTTTCTTGGCCTCGAAATGGAAGAAAACAAACGTGCGCTACTAGACATGTGGATGGACGACGGGGCATTTTAGGGATGTTGTTGTTTGCCAGTACTTGATGTGTTTCTTTTTCCTTCTCTGCTGCATTTGGATTGCTCTTATTTGGTATTTGGTTGTTGTGTGACTTTATGTGTTTGACCTTTGTTTTTCCTTTATTTGACTGAACTCTTTTTTTCAATTTGGTGGTACTTCATGTTGCTTTGTTTCAATGTGATTGGTTATTTAGAAAAAAATATGGTCGTACAAATTTCAATTTATAGGATGTCCAACGCCAATGATGATTACGATGATGCCAAACACGAAGACTCTGAGGACGCTAATGACCACATGGATGAAGGTGTTAACAATGATGTTCAACCGTCCCTTGTATCCCGTTTGCAGCGGTTCAATAATATACTTGAGTTACAACGCTAACAACTGATGCATTTTATGCAGCGTTTCAATATAACCCGCCCATTTTACGAGTCCCCTACCAGCAGTCGACGTACACTGGGGCGGACTAGGTTAATGAACTACTTACGGGCCACGATCGGAGGTTCTATGATGCAATGGGTTTGAACAAGTATGTTTTCAAATTATTGTGCAAAGAAATTAAACAAACAGGTTGCCATGGCGAAGCAAGACAGCAAAAAGTCCGCATTCAAGAAAGCGTTGCAATTTTCTTGCATACAATAAAAGGACACCAAAGGCATCGCCGTTCTGCAGAGTCATTTCGACGTTCTACCGAGACAGTTAGTAACCATGTGCAAATCATGCTGAATGGCTTGCTGAAAATGGCTCCACAATACATACGTCCCCCGGATTTTAATCGTGTCCCAGATTGGATACGAAATAATCGATATTTATATCCATACTTTAAGGTTGAACGCATATTTGTACAAAGCTTTATTTTAATGACCATTTTCATGTATATAACATGAATTTATTTTTGTAATAATGCAGGATTGCATCGGTGCCATTGATGGAACCATCATACCAACTTATATTCCGGAAGAAGAGCATGTCAAATATAGATGTCGAAAAGGTTACCTGGCCCATAATGTGATGGTGGCGTGTGACTTTGACTACAAATTCACTTTTGTTTTGGCAGGGTGGGAAGGAAGCGCAAATGATGCGCGTATTTTTGCTGAAACATTGACGGACCCCACAAGCACATTCCCGCGGCCGCCGGAAGGTCTGTGATTACATTATGTTTCTATTTGCACTCATTTTGTATGATTTTTATTTTTTATTTATTACAAATTATAAAAATGTTACAAACTTATATGAACTTACTACACCATAACTAATTTGTATGGCAGGAAAATATTACGTGGTTGACTCGGGCTATGCCAACGTGCCGGGATTCATGGCACCCTACCGCGGCGATAGGTACCATTTGCCGGAGTGGATCCGGTCAAACAAGACCCCTAAAACTGCACGAGAGCTATTTAATAGACGGCATGCCACTGTCAGGAATGTGGTAGAACGTAGTTTTGGTATACTAAAAGGTAAGTTCCCCATTATAAAAGGCTTGATGCCAAACTACTCGCCTGAATGCCAGACAGACATGGTTATCGCATGTTGTGTTCTGCATAATTTCATCCTTCATCACCAAAAGTTCAAAAATGTACCTCCTGCTTTACATGACCCGGACTATATACCAGAACCCGATGACGATGATCATACTAGGCCCTTAATGACAACTTTAGATACCTCTAGAGTTGTTGTACATGAACAGTGTGGTTTGCGCGACTCCATTGCTGCGGCGTTATGGGCCAACGAAGGTGGCCGACGTCATTAGTTAATATATTATTTAATTATGTTGTAGTACTTATTATTTATTAATGTCATTTTCAAACTTTGAAGACATATTGCATAATCATTATCGTGTGTTATATGTGTATTATGTGCATAATTAATAGTAATGTGGACTATATGATAATATTTGACTATAAAAAAATTAAATAACATATGTAGTATTCAATTTCTAGTAATATGGTAAATAATATTTTTACTCACAACACTATACGACAAATAGTGGGCGAATTGAACTTCTAGCACCATTCCTTTACTACCATTATATTGTAGCACCATGCTTTTAGCACTTTTTTTTAGGAAAAATATATAAAAAAGGAATTTGTTTCAACAACCAACCAAATTGGAGATTACACATTCTTCTACAAATAGTTTGGCAAATATATATAAAAACGCGACAAACATATGGATAAAATTTGTAAAGTACAAACACAAGTTATAATAAACAAAATACATCAATTTTCTCTATTTCTTCTTCGCGCTGCCATACGTCGGTCTTCGGCCCAGTAGTCGCAAATAACTTGATTCAATTTGCGAGAGGTACGTTCATGCTTCGCTTCGATTTCACCAGGATATGTTTCAAGCCGTATGGGCTCAAAAATCATCTTCAAGGTTTCCCATAGAGGCTCGGGATTGTTGCTACAGTAATGCTTTGCTAATGGCCAAAGCTGAGAGAAAATAACGTACGATAATGATAAAATTCTGAATGTAATTTTACCATTACGTATTACATATACAAGAAAATGAAATCAAAAATAAAATAAGTGAATTGTTGTACAATTTACATACCTCAATTGCTTCCTCACGATCGTCCTCCTCAATATATATGGTATTTGCGTGTACGTCCAAAACAATAGATGGGTCATCTAAAAAATATTTGAAGGTTCGGTACCTTTCTTTTAAGACCATGAATGTGGTATAACATTCTTCTAAAGTCAAATGTTGCCCAATTTCACCCAAGCAAGTTTGATATATTCTATCAAATGCCATAAATACGTCAAACTCGATGGTCATCTCTTCTGACCGGATGTAATGTAGAAAGATGGAACAAAAAGCTTCCTCAGTTGCTGGAAGCCATTTGTTCGAAAAGCCTTCGTGTATGTAGCGGAAATGCTCTTCTTTTGTTTGTGGCAATGATAAATTCCACATGATTGAAAAAAACAAATAAGAATGATATGTATGTTGTGGTGTGAATTTGAAGTGTCAACCATGTACGTATATATAGGCAAATGTTGGTGGTGATAAAAAGAAATTGAATATGAAGGTATTACTGCCAGGCCATATGTACGGTACAATTACACACCAAATAGCAGATAAGAATACACATCTACATCTATATTTAATTACTAATAATAAATTTAATAATATTAATTATAGTTTACCATCTTTTTATGTTACAATCTTCAATTATTATTATTATTATTATTATTATTATTATTATTATTATTATTAATATTATATATATATATAATTGCTAGCTGAACAATAAATTTTAAATAATAAATAAAACTAATAAATTTTACCTATGTGGCAAATTATTAAAACCTAATAATAGAACCTAAATGATATAATAGTTAATATTAAATTAATAGTAATTATATTTTACCCTAAATGATATATGAAAGTTACATAAAATTATATTTTACACTAAAATAAATATTATATTTTTTATATGGTTGCGATTATTTTTCGAATAAATTTTTTTTGTGTCATAGTAAAATATAATATTATTATCCTTTATAATTTTAATATTATATGCCTAAATATAAGTTATAATACTACATGTTTGAAATATAATATTATTATTTATCTTATAATTTTAATATTATATGCATACAAATAAAGTATAATATTTAATTTATATTTAAATATGTGCAAATGCACAGGGCCGAATAATAATTTGTGATAGTATCATGCAAATAATGGCACAAATCATTCTTACACATAACAATAAAATAATTTTGTTGTCCATGCATTGTCAGTTCTAAAAAGTGGTCAAACAATATTGCATTATTGAATTGGATATGAATGCTATTTCTTTTTTTTTCCCGTTATGTGCTCCCATACTTCCAGTTTGCATTATTGTCGTGCCCGTCGTTTGGTCTAATCGAAGTATGGATATGAAGTTGTATTTTGTCCATTCTATTTATTACTACCTTTCTTTTTTCCGCTGTTGAAGTCCCACAGTATGGATATCAAGTTGTATTTTGTCCAATCTATTTATTACCTTTCTTTTTTCCCCTGTTCAAGTATGGGACGTCTTTTTTTTTTTTTGTCAGTTGTGCATGTGATATCATAAAAAGGCGGGAAAGGTGGTAGTAAAATTTGGGAAACGGGCAATGTTGGTAAAAAAAAGCAGATTGGTTGTCCATTTGCCAGCTGGATTTGCGATAAGTGCAGGGATTTTTTGGCGGGGGTTGAAAGACAAAAAAGAGGGAAAAGATTTGTGATGCTATGTATAAAAGGATGAGTTCGAGAAACAAAAATATGACCAAAAATCATGGTTTCGCAGCCACCTCTTTGTTCTTGTGGACGTGGTCGGATGTACCGTTTCATGGCAAAGACGGAAAAAAATTATGGTAAGTATTTTTTTCAGTGTCCAGAAGGATTGAAACACCCCGATAATTTTCGTTGGGATACCGAGACTAACAGCTCTTTTTCTGCACGGGAAAATGTTGGAACATATTGTACTACGCAATCTATTGTGCAAAGTAGTGGACATACGACTCGTGGATATAATTACTCATCAAGCACGTCTCAATGGCGAACGAACAATGTTAACGACACACCGTCACTCCTTGAAGTTGCATGTCCATTTTGTGTTTGTGTTTTTTTGGTGGTGATTGGGTTGTATTATTGTAGCACTTATCAAATTCATCATGATGTAATGAGTATTAAAATCTTCTATCTGAGATTACCGTTACGTGATTTGTATTTTGGATGATTAATGGAGAATATTTTGGTAATTCGTCACTGTTTCCTTTCGAACCGCAAACAATGTTTTTATCACGAATGATGCATTTTTGTTTTTATCACGAATGATGCATTTTTTAATTCTGTTTTCAGCTTTCATATGGTGGAATGGCAAATTGTAGTTATCATTTTGAACAAAACAAAATAATATTATATAACTAGGGAGTAGAGGCGTACAGGGTCGGCTAGTGGATTTTGTCCACTTACAAGGGACACTTGGGCCCACGGTACAGTAGCTGGATTAATTTGTTTGAAGTGTAATAACACTCAATAAACTCAAACACAAATAACTCACATTTTTGGATGAATTAATCCATAAACAATCAAGCCCTAAGTTTGTCAAAAAAAAAAAAAAAAAATGACATTGATATTTATATGGACTTCGGGTTGGGTGGTCTCACCTCAAAAGGGGTCGGGCCAACAAAAAATTCACCATGACTAAGGCCTACGGGCTAGGTGGTCTCGACTCTGGAGAAGGGTTGGGCCAACAAAAAATCAATCATGACTAAGGTCTTCGCGTTGGGTGGTCTCAGCTCTAGAGGAGAGTCGGGCCAACAAAACATCCACCATGAGTAAGGCCTTGGGGCTGGGTGGTCTGGGCCCCAGAGTGGGGTTTGGCCAACAAAAAATTCCCCATGATTGAGGCCATCGGGTTGAGTGGTCTCAGCTCCAAGGGGGGTTGGGACAACAAAAAATCCACCATGACTAAGGTCTTCCGGCTGGGTGGTCTCGGCTCCATAGGGCCAACAAAAATCTACCATGACTACGGCCTTCGAGATGAGTGGTCTCGACTCTAGGGGATGGGGCCAACAAAAAATTCACCATGACTAAGGCCTTCGTGTTGGGTGGTCTCGGCTCCAGTGGAGAGTCAAGCCAACGTAAAATCCACCATGACTAAGACCTTCGGATTGGGTGGTCTCGGCTCAAGGGGATCGGGCCAACAAAAAATTCACCATGACTAAGACCTTCGGACTGGGTAGTCTCAGCTCTAGAGGGGATCGGGCGAACAAAAATCCACCATGACTAAGGCCTTTGGGTTGGGTGGTCTCGAATCTAGAGGGGGTCGGGCCAACAAAAAATCTACCATGACTACGGCCTTCGGGTTGGGTGGTCTTGGCTCCAGAGGGATATCAGACCAACAAAAAATCCACTATGACTAAGGCCTTGGTGTGGGTAGTCTCGGCTCTAGAGAGAGGTCTGGCCAACGAAAAATCCACCATGACTAAGGCCTTCGGGCTGGGTGGTCTCGGCTCTAAAGGGCGTTCGGGCCACCAAAAAATTCATCGTGACTAAGGCCTCCGGGTTGGGTGGTCTCGGCTTTAGAGGGGCGTCGGGCCAACAAAAAATCCACCATGAGTTAGGCTCTCGGATTGGGTGGTCACAGCTCTAGAGGGGGTCAGGTCATCAAAAAATCCACCATGACTAAGGCCTTCGGGCTGAGTGGTCTCGGCTCTAGAGGGGGGTCGGGCCAACAAAAAATCTGAAGTGAATAAATTTCACCCGGGCTCCTTCAACTCGAACCGGCCTCCGTACCTGCAGAACCCAACGCCGGGGGTGGCCCCGGCGTCGGGCCTCCGATGCCTGAGTCAGTCTCCAATCCAAAGAGAGAGATAGTGTAGTAATGAATCAATAGAGAATGAGAGAATGAGGTACCTTGGCCCCCTTTTATAGGGGGAGTGTACCTTTTGGGCCCAAGTTGGGCTTGACCCCTATCGTTGGGCTTAGATGTCTTAGTGGGCTTATCCTTCAATACATATCCGCTTTATCCATTAAACCGGGTCCAGTATAATATCCTATATCAAAATCCATCATGAATAAGGCTTACGAGTTGGGTGGTCTCAGCTCCAGAGAAGACTCAAGCCAGCAAAAACTCCACCACTACTAAGACTTTCGGGCTGGATGGTCTCGGCTCTAGAGGGAGGTTGGGCCAACAAAAAATCTACCATGATTAAGCCGTTTTAGGCAAGGTGGCCTCGACTCCAGAGAGGTGGCGGGCCAACAAAAAATCTACCATAACTAAGTCCTTTTTGAGCTGGGTGGTCTTGGCTCTAGAGGGGGTCGGGCCAACAAAAAATCCACCATGACTAGAGCCTTCATGTTTATTGGTCACTTGTTTTGAACAATCCGAGATGTGGGTTAGGCAAGTGTTCAAAAACAAAATCCACCAAGACTAAGGCCTTTGAGTTGGATGGTCTCGGTTCCAAAGGGGGGTTGGGCTGACAAAAAATCCACCTTGACTAAGGCCGTCGCCTGGGTGGTCGCTTGTTTTGAACAATCTCAGTGGGGGGTTGGGTAAGTGTTCGAGACCAAAATCAACTGTGACTAAGACCTTCGGGTTCTGTGAGCGTTTGTTTTGAACAATCCCCGGGGGGTTGGGCAAGTGTTCAAGATCAAAATCCACAATGATCTAGGTCTTTGGGTTGCTTGGTCGCTTATTTTGAACAATCTCAGAGGGGGGTTGGACAAGTGTTCAAGATAAAAATTCACTATGATCATGGTCTTCGGACTGGATGGTCGATCCTAGTATTGGGTCGCTGAAGACAGGGGGACGGATTGCCAGAGCAGGTCGATGGTTTTACTTGGTTTGGTATTGTTGAATCTATTTTTGGACCTCAAATGCAGGTCGATGGAGTTCACTTGGTATGGCTCAAGGAGCTTATTCGCAGACCTCAGTGGCAAGTCGATGGTTTTTACTTGGTTTAGTTTTGTTGAATTTATTTTTTGAACTCAGCGGCAGGTCGATGGAGGTCACTTGGTATGGTTCAAGGAGCTTATTCGCAGACATCGGTGGAAGGCCGATGGTTTTTACTTGGTTTGGTTTTGCTGAATTTATTTTGACCTTAATGGCAGGTCGATGGTTTTCACTTGGTGCAAAATTTACGGAGCGTATTCGCAGACACAATGGCAAGTCGATGGTTATTATTTGGTTTAGTTTTGTTGAATTTATTTTTTGACCTCAGTGGCATGTCAATGGAGTTCATTTGGTGCAGTTCAAGGAGCTTATTCGCAGACCCCCAGTGGCAGATCGATAGTTTTTACTTATTTTAGTTTTGTAGAATTTATATTTTATCCTCAGTGGTCGGTCGATGGAGTTTACTTGGTGCGATTCTAGGAGCTTACTCGGAGACCTCGATGGAAGATCGATGGTATTTATTTGGTTTCGTTTTGTTGAATTTATTTTTTTTACCTCAGTGGCAGGTCGATGGTTTTCACTTGGTGCAATTCATGGGGCGTATTCACAGACTTGGTGGTAGGTCAAAGATTTTTACTTAGTGTAATTTTTGGATTTACTTATCGCCCACATTGGTAGGCCGATGAAGTTCACTTGATGCAGTTTAAGGAGCTTATAAGCAGACTCGGTGGAAGGTAGATGGTTTTTACTTGGTTTGGTTTTGTTGGATTTATTATTTGACCATAGTGGCAGGTCGATGGTTTTCACTTGGTGTAATTCACGGAGGATAATCGCAGACCTCGGTGTAAAGTCGAAAGTTTGTACTTGGTATGATTTATAGATTTAGTTCTCGCCAATAGTGGCAGGTCGATGGAGTTCACTTGTTGCAATTCACGATGTTTATTCGCAGACCTCTGTGGGAGACCTCGGAGGAAGGTCAAGCACTTTCAGCCGTCGGAAGTAGGTCAAAGAGGGGTATGATTGATTGAGAAAGCGAAAACGATGAGCACATTAAATGTGATACAACATGAACACTGCGATGGTGTGGTAGAGGCGGGGGTTCCATTAAAAAGACGCATGATTTGAGAGGATAATCAACAGGGTTGAATTTCAATTTTTGAACTCAAAGGCGATAGGACAAGGTGGTCGAAAATGTTTATCTCTCAGCGAAAAGAGACCGAACATTGTGGTAAAAAAACAGCAAACATGAGTCCAAATTTTCAAATTAAGTACTTCGGGGAGAGGTCGAGAAAATCTATCAATGAAAGGCCAAGTAAGCGGGTCGAGAGATATCAAATGAAGGTTAACATTGTAAAATGAGGAACAAAAGAATCTACACTAGGAATCAAGGTTCGACCTGAATGTGGAGTCAGGTCGTCCGGTCCTCTACTTCACTGGCAGGTCATTTGGTTTTCGACCTCAGCTGAAGGTCATTCGGTTTTTTACCTCAGTGGCAAGTCATTCGGTTTTCGACCTCATTGGAAGATCACTCGGTTTTCTACCTCAGTGGTAGGTCATTCGGTTTCCGACCTCAGTGGCAGATCATTCGGTTCTCGACCTTAGTGGCTGGTCATTCAGTTTTCTACCTAAATGAAAGATCATTTAGTTTTTGACGGAAATAGCCAGAAGACGTGTTTCACTCTCGGATGGAGTTATTCTTACTCGACCAGAGTGGAGGCAACCAGATGATATGGAATATCATACTAGATCGGTTTTAATGAATAAGAAGGAATATATTGGGAAATAAACCTGTACATGGGCTAGACACGTGTCATAATCATATTGTGCAAGCCCAACTTGGGCATTAAGGTACATCTCTCCTATAAAAGGGGCATAAATTATCCCAAAAAACGCATTCTTTTTACATTCACTACTATACTCTAATATTGTATTTATCTCTAGCGAGTGTTGACTTAAGCATCAGAGGCTCGACGGAAAAGCAAGTTGACGGAAATATCCAAAAGACGCATTTCGCTCTTGGATCGAGTTATTCTTACTCGACCAGAGTGAGGGACAACCAGATGATATGGAATATCATACTAAGCCGGTTTTAATGGATAAGAAGGACTATACTGGGAAATAAACATGTACATGGGCTAGACACGTGTCGTACTCATATTGTGCAAGTCTAACTTGGACATTAAGGTACATCTTCCCTATAAAAGGGGGATAAAGTATCCCAAAAAAATACATTTTTTCTACATTCACTATTATACTCTAATATTGTATTTATCGCTAGCGAGTGTTGACTTAGTCATCGGAGGCTCGACGAAAAAGCAAGTTGACGGAAATAGCCAGAAGACGCGTTTCACTCTTTATTCTTATTCGACCAGAGTGAGGGGCAACCATATGATATGGAATATCACACTAGGCCAGTTTTAATGGATAGAAGGAATATACTGAGAAATAAACCTGTACATGGGCTAGACACGTGTCGTAATCATATTGCGCAAGCCCAACTTGGGCATTAAGGTACATCGCTCCTATAAAAGGGGCATAAAGTATCCCAAAAAAAATACATTCTTTCTACATTCATTACTATACTCTAATATAGTATTTATCTTTAGCTAGTATTGACTTAGGCATTGGAGGCTCGACGCAATGTTCCATCCCAACGTTGAGTTATTAAAGTTACGGAGACCGTTCGAGGTAGAAGGAGCCGAGTGAAGTCCATTTCACTATTATTAGCGCCGTCTGTGAGAACCATTCAAAAAGCCAAAAAATCAGTCGTGGCGAGCGAAATTCTGACTAAAAAATTCAGAAATTTTTCGGCAACCTCCTGCAAATTTTAAATTTCATATAATATTTTCAATAAATTAATAAAAATAAATTGCATTGCATCTTGATTATGTTTTTTTTTAATTTATAAATTAATGAATATTTCCGTGCATCGCACGACTCACATTAGTTGCTAAAGAGAAAGACTTGAGTTTCTTGACAACGAAGTGCAACTTGAGTGGTAAGACGCTTCATTTATGACCGATAGGTCAAATAGATTCGAGGTAACGATGAGATGAAGTGGGAACACTATTGATTCTCCTTTAAAAAGCAAAAAAAAAAAATAAAAAAATGAGGGCATTCTTGTTTATGCAATAATTTGCTCAAAATGATTTTTTTTATTAACTAGAGTTAAATTTGAAAAAAGGTGGTATGCTTAGTTGTTAGTGAGATATTATTAATGTATTAAAATAATATTAAAAGTAAAATAATTATTGTTGATTTGATGTAAAAGTAGAAGATAAATGATTGAAAATGATAGAGAGTGAAATTTATGTTAGTGGATGAACAATGGATTAACGTTGATGTAATATGTAAGAATAATTGATTTATAGTATTTAATTATATAAATAATATTAAGAATATTGGAGTTGAGTTAAAGTTGAGTTAAATTTTGAGTATTAAATACCCAAGAGCGCTTGGATGAGATGGTTTGTGTCTCTTCTAGCTTAACCAGTGATCTCGAGTTCGAGCCCTGGGAATGCAACAGTGTTAAAACTCTTGAGGGAGAGCTTTGCTGCCCTTGTGGTCCTACTCGGCTCGATTACGAATTAGTCGGTTCCCCTGTGGATCCAGAAACCAGAAGATCCCTGTACAAAAGAAAAATAAAAAATTTGAGTATTAAATAAATGTGAGCAAATTATTTCATAAACAAACATTTCTCGAGTTTCTTATCCACTAATCCACCAGAACGACGTCGCAGGAACTCGTAAAAGATCTAAAAGATTCCTATCAGGAATCCTGTAGCAATCACAACAAAAGGAAAATTTGGAAAAAACAACTCGATTAAAAGTAGCACAACTCACATTTAATGGCCGTAAGGCCATTCGTGCTCATCGCTCTTCGCCAGCACCTCTCTTCCTCCGCCTTCTTTCTGCCCCGCCGCGCGGCCTCCGGAACTCCACTTGTCGTCGCGCAAGACCACTGTCAACAAATTAAGCTCTACCGACAAAAGGAGCCGCCCAGGACGCCGCTTTTACGGCCAGAGACCGATTTTTCCTCCACCCGCCGCCCCTCCGTCGTGTCCCTGCCTGAAACCATGGCTCAGAGGATTGGGAAAGCTATTCGTCGTTCAGGCGCCCCGTCGAAGGCGCGGGCCTACCCCGACGTCAATGTCATACGCCCTAAGGAGTATTGGGACTACGAGTCACTCACCGTTCAATGGGGGTAATTAAATTGGGCCTTTAGTTAATTGATTACTGATTTATATTTATGTTCGATCTATCCATTGGGTTCTTTTTTCTGATTGCCCGGCGGGCTTTGATTGGTCGTTCCAGGGAGCAGGATGATTATGAGGTGGTGAGGAAGGTGGGCAGGGGCAAATACAGTGAGGTTTTCGAAGGCGTTCACACAACGGACAATGAGAAGTGCATTATCAAGATTCTAAAACCTGTGAAGAAGAAAAAGGTTTCTTTTTTTTTTTTTTCGCAGAATTGTATATATTCTTATGTTTTGATCAGTCTACTTGGGATTGTAATTATGCTCATTGAAATGAGTGATCATATTTGGGGGAGCGAAGAGAAAGATTTTGAAGGCGCAAGGAGACATAATTGAGATTGAAAAGTTATCCTTTGTTTAACATTTATGCAGTCCATGTTTGTATGATGAAGTTTGTGGAAGCTTGTTTCCTAATGCATAACTTTTCAAAAGCTAATCTAGTCATGTGCAGTATCTTTGTTTCTAATAAGAGGATATGCAGGGCTGCTAATAATGCATTTCGTTGTTTTCAATTACTCAAGACGAAATGATAGATTTTGTCCAAGATGATCTCTTGTGGATGCCCCAGGACCATTGGGCTGTGTTTTCTAATCCTATTGGTTATGGACAATGTTATTTGAGGAATTACACCAAGTGTTTAAAGAATGTTAGAGGGTTGAATTCAGATTGGTGCCTGTGATGGCATGTTAACAGATGTGGGCTAGTTACTTTAAAATCATTTGTTTCCTTCTTCAGTTAAATGGGTATTGACTAGGCTTTACATCATTGTGGATTTTTAGTTGTTGGTGAAAGTTCAACATGAAGAAGACCTTTTAAGTTTTTTTATTGATTGATTTGGCTTTTTTATTAATATACTCAGCATTCGAGATGTAACTAAACAAAGTACCATATAAGGAGCTGTCGATAAATATGCTTGTCATACTTGTCAGGAATTTAATATATTGAAGGGCTTATTATGAATACTTTCATACTTCTGCAGATCAGGAGGGAGGTTAAGATTTTGCAGAATCTTTGTGGTGGGCCAAATATTGTGAAGTTGCTTGATATCGTAAGGGATGAACAATCAAAGACGACAAGTCTTGTATTTGAGTATGTGAATAATACAGACTTTAGAGTGCTGTATCCAACACTTTCGGACTTTGACATTAGATATTATATCTATGAACTTCTCAAGGCAAGCATTTTGGTTTTTATCTGTAATTGATTTTCCAGCATCTGTAGTCCATCAAACGCACTGTTTCTTGTGAATGGTGATCAGTTTCAGGATGTCAAAAATTATAACGTGCTGGGAACCCCTTAAAATAGCTATCCTACCTGAATTCAGGAGGATATTAGTTCTATTAGAGGAATTAGTTTCAACTGTAGCCTGTGCTGTTCATTTTTTTAACGTCTGTTATTTTATCTAGAAAATATTAACCGTTGATCAAATTTTGATAGTGTCGCCAAAGCCTGGTCTCTGATCACATATGAATGTATTGGGCTCACTCACTTAATTAGGGCTGGCACTCAGTTAGCTTATAAATGTCTTGATTTGTGTTCTTTCTTGAGAATTCGGTAGATATAAGTTCGAAGGCATTTGTTTTATTGGCTGCTTATAAATTTAGTAGTTTCTAGTCATACCCTCACAAATTGCCCAAACCATAGTTGTTTCTCTATGTAGTCTCTATTTTTCTTGTGTGGTTATTTTTCTGACCTTGAAATATCAATTGTTCTTTCTTTACTTTTACATGTAGGCCTTAGACTACTGCCATTCTCAAGGCATCATGCATAGAGATGTGAAGCCCCACAATATCGCAATAGATCACGAGCAGCGTAAACTTCGCTTGATAGATTGGGGGCTTGCGGAATTCTATCATCCTGGAAAAGAGTATAATGTTCGAGTAGCTTCAAGGTCTGCCATCTTTCCTCTTAGCGCATCTGCATTTTGTCATCTTAGTTTCTTCTTTATAGTTTATGCACCTTTGTCATGTTAGTTCTGCTAACTTTTTACTTTTAACTTTTGAGTTCACCTTGTTATTTTGCTTGGAGGACTTTCAGAGGGTGGAGATTGATGTTTTTCTGTACTTCTATGGCTATAATACTTTTAGATACTCAAGTTATAATATGTTGAACACGATTCTGTTCGAAGAAGCAATGGTTATGTTTGTGTTGATAACCACGTAGTTAAGCAATAAAATAACAATGTGTAAGTTAGTTGAGATCTGCTATATTTCGGAGGAGATCTCACCAGGCTAATGGTTAACAAATACTCTGATCTGTATTTTACCCAGTTCTGTCCACATATTCTCAGGGTGGGTTTGTTTATCAATTATTTCAAGTTATACTCAATTCCTACTCAAAATCTAACTCAACTTTAACTCAACCACACTATCACCAATATTATCATTATCATTAAATAATAGAAATAAATCATTCTTCCACATCACCTCAACTTTAATTTACTATTCATTCACTCACATAATTAACTAACCATCACTTCACATCATATCTCTCATACTTTTACATCAAATTAATTTTAATTATTTTATTGTAAATGTTATTTTAATATAAACTCAAAATCCCACTACCAATTAACCATCTCAACTTTTTCAAAATTAACCATGGTTAACCAAAAAAACTCATTTTGAGCGGGTATATTTGCATCCAAACCCGCCCTTAGTTTTTACTTCTGAAGGTTGCAAAACCCCATTTTTAAGCCTGCCACAAGTTTGCAAATATGATGATGGATGAAAAATACTTATCTTTACCTATCCACTGTTACCTCAACATTTGTCGGCTACTTTCAGAAAATGTTTTTCTTATCTTACATGCGGTTTCTAAAGTTTAAGTTGAATGGTCTGGTTCTACAATACTCTTAGTGATGTATCTAGGCATGATATTATCATGGTAATTTGTATATTAGGTCAGCCCTATTTCTTCTAGCTATTGGCTTAACTGCCTTCACTTAAGTTTGGTGACCTGTCTTGAGCAGATATTTTAAGGGCCCTGAACTTCTCGTGGATTTGCAAGATTATGATTACTCCTTGGACTTGTGGAGCCTGGGATGTATGTTTGCTGGAATGGTATGCACTTCTGCTACGCTTTAACACAACCACCAATTTTGATTATTACAAGTGAACCTGGTAATAATGCTTTACGGGCTTTCTCTTTGATGAACCTCAAAGGCACTCAATGCTTCTTGAAAACATGAAGATTGGTAATTTTTGTTGAAATGTAGAGGATTATTTTCGTAAAGCAAAAGATGAATAGATTACCATTTGCTCGCATATCAACTATAGATGATGGATAATGTTCAAGTTAAAATTTTTAGGTTGTACATGCTCATGTGTGCTTGCATTGTGATTCTCATGTTGAGATTTGTGCTGAACAGATATTTCGCAAGGAGCCTTTCTTTTATGGGCATGATAATTATGATCAACTAGTGAAGATTGCAAAGGTATATATATGCTGGAACAAGCCATATTAAAGAAATACTCGATGCTTCTAATTGAATGTTTTTGTATTGTTAAATATATGCATCATGCAGTCTGAGCTTGCATTTCTGATGCTTTATTGGATCACTTTTTCAAGTTACGACTGGAATAATACACTCTTAAGAAAGTAACTTCTTGCTTTCAGTCCATTTCATTTTTGTGCTGAAAAGTCGATGTTCGGAAAATGCAGATAATCTTTTCAGTCATAGTTGTGTGTGTGTGTGTGTGTTTCTCTTCAGTCTTGATTGGAAACACCTTTATATCTGATAATGTTTTTTACCTAAATATTTAATGGATGGTAGATACTGGGGACAGATGAATTAAATGCTTATTTGAACAAGTACCGGTTGGAACTGGACCAACATCTCTCTGCCCTTGTCGGAAGGTTTTTTCACGGCCTTATTACTTTTTCTGCAGTATTGGCTCGTTAATTATTTCACTCCTTTCTTTTTATTGTAATCATTATTATTTTCGGAAATGGGTCATTTTAGGCATAGTAGAAAGCCATGGACAAAGTTCATTAATGCTGATAATCAACATTTAGCTGTTCCTGAGGTAATCAATTGAAAACTCAAAAAGATTTGATAGTTTCTGATGCAGATTGAAACTAATAATTTTATTTCTTATTTTCTGTCTCCTTTCCGTCATTCCTTTTCCAAAGGCCGTTGATTTTCTCGACAAATTGTTGCGATATGACCATCAAGAAAGGCCAACCGCAAAGGAAGCAATGGTATAACCTACATACTTTGTTCACGTTCTCCATAAATAACTAACAGCAGAAAGAGTATTATTTGCGCATACATTCGGACATATTGAACTTCACATTATATCCTATTCACAGCACAAATTGTCTTACAGTTATATTTTTTACAGAAATTCGTTCTGCATGAAATTCTTGAATTTTATTTTTTTTTATTTTTTTTTTATCTCTTCCGATAATGTACGTAATTCTTGCAGGCCCATCCTTATTTCTACCCCATAAGGAATGCAGAAAATCGCCGTGCTCGTGGTCAATAATTATGAGAACTCCATGCCATCAAATTTTGTCGTCAAAATCTTTGCGCACTCTATGATGTGCTTTTTTACTCTTAATTTATGCAATAGATTGAGTTCTTGTTTGTACTTACAATCCGATTCGTGCACTTACTGTAACTCTAAATCGCGTAAACATTATACCGTGTGTGAATCATAGAAAGCAAAAGATTGAGAACCTCCTCATCTTTCTTTTTTTCAAGTTACTTTTTAGCCATTTGCTTAATTCTGTAGCAGGTAAATCTGCAGCCCGTAACCCGCCAAATCCCATCTTTTGGCGGGGCGGGGAGGGCCTTCTAAGATCAGCTCAGCCCGCACCTGTTGTGGCTGTGGGTTGTGCGGGCTGTCCTGTTTTAAAAGAAATAAAATTTAAAGGCCATATCTCTATATTATCTCGTATTCAACTCCTACAAAACACTCACCCCTTACTTTTCTCCATTTTCTTTATTGTGCCTCCTTTAATTCTTGTAATCAAAATGCACGCATATAGCCTATACTACGGCAAGGCGGTGAGACCAAACGCAGGGATGTGGTGGTGATATGAGTGGGGTGGGGGTGGAGTGTGAGTTGAAATGTAGCCATTTTTTCAGGATTTAAAGTATTCATTTTTGCTACTTTGTGTTTTTTCAATCGAGACCAAGTAGAGGGAAACGTTGTGAAAATTTAAGTTGAAAAATTGATCTCTGGGACGAACCATTTAACTTTTTTTTTTTTTTTTTTTTTGGAAGACGATAATTTTTTTTTAATCATTTATATAATTATTTTGTTCTAGATTTATCTACCTATTTGGTTTCTATTCCACAAAAACGAATTATCAAATATTGCCAAAACACTTGTATTGACCCAAAAATGACAACTGTCTGCAAGGGTGATCACGATTCTTCATGCTCTGACCTGAAAATGACCTATCACTACAAAGTTTCCACACCTCTCAATGCTTTGACCCGAAAATGAACACTCTTTGCAAAAGTGATCACGTTTCTCCATGTTGAGACTAAAACAATGACATGTCGCTGCATCGTTCCCCACATCTCTCAATGCTTTGACCAAAATGAATACTCTCTGTAAAGGTGATCACGCTTCTCCATGTTTTGACTTGAGAATGACCAATAACTGCAAAGTTTCACACATCTCTCAACGTTTTCACCCGAAAATGAACACTCCCTGCAAAGGTGACCACGCTTCACTATGTTCTGACTTGAAAATGACCTATCACTACAAATTTCTCCACATCTCTCATGCTTTGACCCGAAAATGAACACTCTCTGCAAATGTGATTACGCTTCTCCATGCTCTGACTCGAAAGTAATATATCACTGCAAAGTTTCTCACATCTCTCAATGTTTTGATCCAAAAATGATCACTCTCTCCATATGTGATCACGTTTCTCCATATTCTGGCCTGAAATGACCTATCACTGCAAAAAAAGATTCTCATATTTTTCAATGTTCTGACGTGAAAATGACCACTCCGTAATGTTACCATAACTTTTGAAATTCACTAATATAAGAACATAATACATACTAAATCCTTCACGCACTTGAATCTTTTCAAACATCTCATTGTATTTGTTTATCCCACATTTCTACAATGAATTTTAAATTTGGCAAGTCGTCATCTTCTTCATCTGATTATGATTATGATCATATGCTTATTATGAATGCTCTTTGTTAAAAAAAAAGTATTCATTCTTGTTATCGCTAATAACAACATAATCATTCAACATCTTCTCAATCAACAAAACCAAGAATCCTCCCATGGAGGTTCTATTCCTGGGCATATTTTTATCAATCATGATCGAGAGGCTGCTGATTGCAGGTTGTATAACGATTATTTCTCAGAAAATCCATTGTATAACGAGACCATATTTCATAGAAGATCATGATCATTACTTTCAACCTTGAGTGGATCGAGCTGGCATACCTGGATTATCTCCAACACAAAAAACACCTGTTGGTCTTTCATATGTTGGCATATTGCGTTCAGCAGATGCTACATATAACTGAAAGTATGAAAAAGTTATGTCGAGCAATAGTTGAGTTATTTGGCGAGCAATATTTGTGAAGGCTAGTCTAAGCTAAACCAGAGGGGTTTGGAGGATCGACATATTGATAAACACCGATCAGGTCGTAATTTGCGGAGACCCACATATGATGATATTTAGAGGCTTTTATATGTTGGTCAGCAACGTGGTTTTTCAGGAATGTTGGGAGTTTAGATTGCATGCATTGGAGGTTGAAAATTGCCCTACAACGTGGGCTGGAAAATATGTTGGTCGTATTGGAAAGCCTCCAATTATTCTTGAACCTGTAGCAGATTATGATCTATAGATATGGCATGCTTATTTTGGTTTACCGGGCTCCAACAACGATAGCAAGTTCTAGAGTCATCTCATCTTTTCTCAGATCTAACCCAAGGCATTGCTCCTCCAGCTCATCATATAATTCAAGGAAAAAAAATACAATATGAGTTATTATTTAGCTGATAGCATATATCTAAAATGGTCCACCATTGGGTAAACAGTTCACGAGCCACGTGGTCCGAAAAAAAGATATTTTGCAATGAAACAAGAATCATGCAGAAAAGACGTTGAACGTACATTTGGAGTTCTTGAATCACGTTTTGGCATTGTAGTAGGACCAATACGTTTTTGCAAAACAGAAATGCCACATGATATTATAACCACATGTATAATTTTGCGTAATATGATTGTTGAGGATGAATGTGACCTAAGTGCACCAATCGAAACTGAGATGGAAACGCCGTCGCCGGAGGTCGAAATGGCTGCAGTAGATGAAAGAATTCGATTTCAGGAATTCACATCTCGGTACAAAAAAAAAAAATAAAAAAAAATGATTACCTTGCACTTCGGAATGCACTAATTAATCATTTGTGGGAGAAATTCACCAATTCCGAGACTTGAAAGACTATCTATTTTTACTTGATTGTTGTAATTTTTAATTTTTCATTTAATGCCTTGTAATTTTTAATTTTATCTTGTGCATTGCAATATTGAATTTCTCATCCTATGCGTTGTAATTTTTAATTTTATCTTGCGTGTTGTAATTTTCAAATTTTATTTTTTTAATACATATTTATTTCTCCGATTTTTATTACGTATAACTTTGTAATTAATTTTATTACATAAAGTCTAAATTGAATTTAAAATAATAGTGTAATTTAATTTGTAAAGTTGTAAAATATGTGGTTAGTAAAAGTTTTGATATAAGAGAAAATGTTTCGATAATTTTCTTTTGGATTTGAGAATGAGATGAATTACCGCAAAATGGGACAGTTACTACAAAATGAGTTTGTGTATGAATTTTTTCGGTTGGAGATGGCAGTGTAGCATGCATGAAGTTGGATTTCCATGTTCAATTCATGCATCCAATTCAAACTCGTTTGTACTTGAGTTCTTTGCATCCATTCAAAAAACAGATCATAATTAGCTTTGTGGATTTTGCATTACCAGCTCCATGCTTGTAAATGTTTCAACCAGAGTATAATTTAGTTGAACAAAATGGATTACAAGAGGCATTAAGACACCATACTTATCCAATTTTTTTTGTAATTGGGGGCAGTATCCAACAGTGCTACTACCGTGCATACACATGTTCATCTTGTAAAGTAACATGATCATTTTAAAAAAGTCTTGACACACCTTGCTATGTGTGTCAAAACGCACCTAAATATTTGCGCAGTATCCAAAGGATCATTTTCTATGTGAGTTGTGACTACTTTATTTTGGTACGATCAAAATCTCTTTATAAGTGGTGCATACATGTCCAATTTAAAGCTATGATCAATAGTTTGACACGTTTATATTGTTATATTTCAATAAGGGCAATTAGCAAATGTGACACAATTAAATAAAATGAATTACAGGATAAATAATAATAATAATTCCGTCTTTCATACTATCTGCATGCAATATCTATTTATTTAGCACTTTGTAACTCGTACTTAAAACTAATATGATAATCTCTGTATTTAATGAAAATTAGCAAATTCCTCCCTATATATTAATTCAAAACGTGTTGAGCCTAGGTGACAGATTCTCACGTTTCGGATGCTGAGTTGACGAAAATCTATGCTTCGTGATGTTGTTTTTATATTATTTTTGCTCTGGAGTTAGGTTTGGTAATAGACATAAATAACTTTACACATATATTTATTAACCCAATACTCATGTTGTACATGGGTATTAATACTAGTAAATAAATAAATAAGAGAAAAAAAATAAATGAGGATAAAATTAAATAAAACGGGATAGTTTTGGAAGGGGTTTATTGCACCAAATCCCCCTGTATTATACTAAATCTGCGCGTTTTCCCCTGTATTTTAAAAATTGAGTCATACCCCCTTATATTTAAGGTTTGCATGCGCGAAACCCACTAAACCGTCTAAGATGACGGCAGTGGAGTGCATGCGCGTGCTGTGCGACTTTTTCTTCATTTTTCCACCCTAAAGTGACTGAAATTATTGTTTTACCCCTGAAAAATACTGAAAAATATTTTGCTTATCTCAGGGTTCGATCTCAGGCCAAAAACTCTACACACAGGGCACCAAACCACCTTGCTACCATCATTGAATGATATATTTGACACACACTTATCTAAAAGAACACAAAGAGAACAAAACTTTATCAAACAAAAAATAAAATAAAAATAATTATTTATAAATAAAACAAATTTAATTCAATAGCTATATATTATTTTTATTTATGACTTTTATTTAGTTTTTATATTATTTATCTTCTTAAAAAAATAGAGAAATATATAAATTTAATTTTTCAGTAAAATTTGTAATTTTAAATTTCTAATAAATAATTTAATTTTATTATTCTAATTTTATGTTCTATTAAATAAAAAATTCTAAAATTAGAATCCGTTATAATTATTAATAATGAGTTATTAAAAATAAGAATAAAATGAGTTATTTAATTCGTATTTTAAATTAATGAGTTATAAATTAGAATCCGTTAT